AATTTGACAGTGAAGCAAAAAAAAAGAAGAAGAAAAAAACGCGGGAAATATAGCAATAAAGGAAGAGAGGGTAAACGTCTGGAAGGGGAAGAAAAAAAAAAATGTCTGAGACTTAATGAGGCATATGGAAAAAGAGTCTGTGTAAATTTAGCGGGAGAACTAGGCAGCTGATTATCACCCGCCGAACAATTTCACGGTAAGAAAAATATTGTAAATAATGAAAAATAAAGAGGTGGGATCGAGAAAGAAGCAAGAATGAATTGAAGATAATACGCTGGTTTAGGGTAACGGTAAACTGAGAAAGCAGAATGGAGACCAGTCAGGAAGAACAAAGTAGTAAGCGCGATGGGCTGAATGTAGCTACAATTTCAATTTTCGTAACATTCATCGAGTAATTTTGGAAGTGAAAGGTCAGCTCATTTACACCTTCATTCTCTGCATTCATAGCCTACAATAATTTCAATGGTCCTTTCATCTGACACATTACAAGGTATTTCTCTCATTTATTTGAGAAATGAAAACAGTATTTAGTCACAGCCTGGGTTACTGGTGAAATCACAGTGCGTGGCCTTTGTCGACAGAGAAACACATTTGCGTTTGTTTGACAACTGAAATGGAACTACAAACAAAATGACTCGATAAAAGGAAATGCATAAAAGATTGACTGGGACAAAAGGTGTGCATGAAATGACAAATATTGGGACAAAATAAAAAATATTGCGACCGTCATCATTTCGAAAACTGTTAATTTTCATGAGGGGGGGGGGGGCTACAATTTATATAGAGGTTTATGTTGGCCGAGGCAATTGCAATTTCAAAAACTAGTTTCATAAAAATTAATAATTTTCAGCCGTATATTTTCAAATTCCGCAAAAATGTCATCAAAATCAGCATCATCTCTTTTCATCATAAATCATGTAAAGCTCCACTAATGTTTCCCGCCAATTTTCTATGAACAAACTGAATTAAATTTGTCCAATTTAAGCCTGGCGACTTCAGCAGGCAAGATGAAACAAATATTGGTGGCTATTTCTTTTAAAATTATTTTATTTCTTAATTGTTTTTTTTTTTGGATTTTCCTCCGATGAATGCAACGGAATATTTCCAACAAGACAGAAAAGAAGGAAGATTATTTGGTTGGAAATGTAGCTGGATGAATCAACCTTTTGCAAATTAAGTCATTTCAGTCATTATATTGTCATCGCTAGAAATGTACGTAATTTATAATTTCATGAGAACAAAAATTAAAGCAGAGACTGTTTTTTAGAACAATTAAGGTTTCAAAGGACAGAAAATGAAGCCCTATCTAGGTACACATGGCCTTGGTTCTTAGATTAATAAGTTACACAGGGTCAGTTTTGGCCCTGGTCAGTCACAGTCTATTTATCCTCACTAAACATACACATAAGATTAGCCATCAACTTAAATATGCCATGTTAACAGTGTGTTTACGAGTAATTTTAGGACCCAACCATAAATAAACTAACTATTTAAATGTTGGTATAATTTTAAATTAATGTCAACAAAGCCTAGCTAGCTAAGTACATAAAAATGAGTCTGTTGAGATAAAAAAAAAAAAAAAAATATTAAATTGGTACATATATTTTTTTTTTTATACCATGAACATAGCAAATAACAAACAGCAGCAAACTAGTGAAAAAACTGCATGATAGGATCACAGGAGAGGGCTTCATTAGATGCAGCTTGGGTGGGGGCGGGGTCTCTATTTGTTATAATATCAATGGTAGAAAACTGGAATTCACTTCTTAAAAAAGAAAAAACTAATTTTTTTTTTTAAATATTGAGCGTAATGATTGTAGTGCATTAAGAAATTCTGCAAATCTATGGCACCCCTCCCCCCAGTGGATTTAGTTGAAAAAAATTAACATCCAAACTATCACATATCTGGAAATCAATGTAGGCACTCAATAGCATCATGCTTGACAAGGGAATAAGTACTTCAGCCTCCTTCATTGTCAAACTACAAAGTATATAGTGACGGAGTCGTGTTAAATATACCTTGTCTTTGTAAAACCCACGACATTATTATCTAAATAAAAAAAAAAACATGATCAGATAACAATAAAAAAATATATATATTTTTTATAGTTATTCTTTTAATCTTTAAATAATTAATACATGTGATAGTAAATTTACGTCTTTTTTCAAACTGACATAAAAAAAACATGATTGCATTTCAAATATTGAATGTGATGATTTTTTTTTTTTTTTCAGCAAAATTGTTGATGGAATGTGGATTGACAAGATAAAACACTGAATATTCAAATGTATCATAATAAATCTGAATAATTATGTTTAGCGATTGTGACATTGGGCCCTTTTTATTCAGAGCTTAAGAACCGATGATTTCAATTATCCTCCCCACTATGCCAATATTTCTACTATATTATATGGATTGACTGAAGAGTTGATATATCTATATACAGTACTTATTAAACCAATATAGTTTTTCACACACAATGAAGTTACATCGAAGGTTTAGACACAATTTTATCTCGGCGTACAGTCTCGACAAAAGCGAGGCGAAGAATGATTTCATCTTCTTTCTGCTTCCTGTTAATGTAAATAATTGATTTCTGAAAAACGTATGTTTGAATATTAGTAGTTGTTGGCACACATGTTTTAATCTTTTTTCCCTCTGGTATCGTTTTGGATTATACTGATTTATATCTGCCTTTAAACAGTTTGTTTTGTTAATGCAGGATTTACTTCTATTCAGGTGATCTGTCCCACCTAAATGCGTTGGGGAGATTTCACAAAAAAACGCTTTATCAACGAGAGAAGAAGAGAAAACACCCTTGTGGGTTCTCGTCGTCGGAGAATAGTACAACTCTTGCTGTTGAGATGAAAATCCAGGACAATGACGCAAACTTCTAAAGATTGTACAGATTTGTCATATTTGTCTTCAAGCATATTCGGGGCTTGATTATTTCTCTTTCAGTCCATCCCTGTAAATAATTAGTATACTTTTGAAATTTAATGTAAAATATACTAATACTGGGTCTAATATTCTAAGCTCCACCCTCGGCTATGTCCTCTAACACAAAGCATCTTTAATTTTGATTCCATTTCTAATGGCAATGCCTTCAGCCGAGTTGTGATTTCTTAGCAGGGTGAAGGGCTTTCATTTATTTCCAAATTGACAAATTAGTATGGAATCCGCAGGAACCCTTGTCATATTAAAAAAAAAATACATATATGTATATATGAACATAATGAAAACTTGTAAAACTTCACTCTGACCAAACTATATTAATGTATTATAACCTAGTAATATTTTCATCTCGGTTCTTTTGAAAACATCGTTCTAAGGCGTCCAACCACAATAACTTGATAATAGCAGCCGAATCACAACGATACATTGTATACATATACTTTTGTGTTTTATCACGACGTAAACTTTCTGGCTTCAATTAGATTGTTTGTGTCCAATTGTGCATCTGGATTTAATATTAAAAAAAGAAGAAGCTAAATCTGACGATTATATTAAAATGAAGCAAAAAAAAAGGGGGGGGTTAAAAAATAAAATGAAATACAAGAGAAAACATGGGAAGATAAAACCCTGCCAATATAATGATGCTGTCAGATTATCACATCACTAACAAAAGATGGGGAAATTATTATTAATACAAAATGTCTATAGAGCCTATTGAAAGCAAATTAAAGAGTTGCTAAACAATAGTCCGTAATAGATTATGCGTCTTTTCATAAAAGCCTGACTTTTCATCACTGTTTACTGTGCGGGTAAAAGCTTTTGTTGCCAGTAATCTCGGCAAATACGCTTGATAAATGAAAATAGGCTGTATTTGTTGGTACATTCGGGATTTCTATAGAAAAGAGACCATTCTTTCAATATGCTTTCCGACAATGCTATTCAAAGCCATATCTCGTTGATGAATAGCCAGTGCACTGACGGACAAAATGAATTTGCAAATTGAAAAACGTTACAGAGAATAGCGAACAGTGAAAAATTCATCAGTAATATAATAGACCACGGTGTGTTTGTGCGTGTGTTCCTCGTGCGTGTTGTATGTCCTATTTGACACCTCCAACAATGTCGCGTTTTACTATTGACACGGGTCACACGGTGAAAGGCAGGAAGCCTAGTACGGTTCCCCATATCAACATCAGATAATAACGCCGACAGGCTAACTGATACAAAACAAAGGGTAAAGTTGTCGGTCTGAAAGACCGAGCTACCTTCAAAACTTAGCAACGGTGTATTATATCGTATTTTGTTCACATGTGACTGACGTGGGTTAATGATCGCATCCAAACAACGTTATCGCAGCGATATATGACACGGGATGGGTTGAACCTTAATTTGGCCATTGTTCTTTTGTTGTGCACTGATAACCCGTTGATATTTGTCTATTCATGCAATCTGTTAAGTAAACATGCACCTTGGAGTGGAACAATGAGCACACAAAGACGAGAGATATTTACGGGAATCACTGACAAAAAGATGCGGCGAAATCTACTAGCATTCGTTATCGCGCCTGATAACCGTGAACCGGTAAGATGTGACCCTTTGGATTATGCCCAGCGCCATCATTCGATCGGTTAAAATATACCGCAGCAGACCACTAAAAACACAATCGTTACACTGTGCCAAGAGGCTGGATTATACAAATGTGCTTACCAATCTGGTCTGTGAAATAAACGATGGTAAAAAAACTCATTGTACTTTGAGTGATATTTCACGTCCAAAAGTTACTCATCAAAACATGTCAAAATACCGCCATCTTTATCTGATAAATATTAATCAATTGTTCAAGCCAATCACTGATGATTATCACGTCACGTGTCTACAATGACCCTAACAGCCTTACAAAATTTGCATATGAAATCAACTTTCATTCACAAATTTAACCCAATCCAAACCGTCGACACGGAGAGCCTTAGCTCCTTTTGAGCGGGAGATCACTCCCACGCCCACCGATTGGACAACGTAGTCATATTGCTTGCCGCTTGTTCAAGTAAAACTTAGTGTTGTATCGAATCGCTTCATTACGGAAACACGCTGATGACGACGGTTATTCGCTGTATACCGGAATAGTGTATATATTCTATGTACGGACTCTTGACAAGACTGTATACCTACGGAAGTCATCCTTGCTGACTTGACACGTGTGCTTGGACAAACTGTTCTGCGTCATACAGTGAACATTTTTTCACCCGAGGTGTCATAAACACAGATCTACAAGATGGCCAAACCAGCAGATCACGTCAAACGTCCGATGAACGCGTTCATGGTGTGGTCCCGTGGACAGCGACGTAAGATGGCACAGGAGAACCCCAAAATGCATAACTCTGAGATTAGTAAACGACTCGGCGGTGAGTGGAAGTTGCTGTCAGAGGCCGAGAAGCGACCATTTATTGACGAGGCCAAGCGACTCCGCGCTTTACACATGAAAGAACACCCCGATTACAAATACAGACCAAGACGCAAACCGAAGTCGATCATGAAAAAGGATAGGTATGCGTTTCCTATACCATGTTTGCCGACGACAAACCATCTTGCCGTCACGTCCACCGCCAGTGACATGTTTCATGCGGTGGAGAAAGCCCGATCGTTCTTACCAACCTCGTCGCCGTATTCTATGTTAGAAAGCGTTGTTGCCAACAGTAAATTGGACGCGGGCAATTCACTATCAGCGGCGAACCACCACCAACTTTACTCATCGTTATACCCAACGTTACCTGGAAGTGCTTTCGGAGCGGCGTCGATACCAAATCCCCACACGCATACACATACACATACCGCGCCTGGTATGCATGGACAACAGTATATGGTGCCTTGCAATTGTTGGCAACCAGCTCAGGACCCACTCCGACGCCCTGTTGCATATATTTTGGTTAAACCCGAGGAACACTACGCGGCGACACACCCAAGTCACCCAACGCATCCACCACCTCCACCGCCGACGGCACACATGTAAAATGTGCGTGTTATTAAAACGAAAAACTTTCTCCAAAGACTTTAAAACAATATTTCTTTTCAACTTTTTGCTATTTTGCCATTCTGATATTTCTATCGGCTGGGCATTTTCGTCACTTCTAGCGTTTGTATATATAGACGTGGGACAGACTCGTTGCGAGATCCCCCAAAAATGTTGTTTATTGCAGAAAACCCGTCAACAATTCGTTGGCTGATGTTAGTTGTACATTAAGGTAGCGTTGAAATACTTCTATATATCTTAAAGATAATGTTATTGTTGAATTGTGTAACCCTGCCCTTCACCGAGGAACTGAGACACCTTTTGTCCAATATGTTGGCATATTGTGTATTTTTTGTTGCGTTTCATTTGACCAGACAGGCTGAGGGGTAAAGTCGATCGATTTAATAAGATTTTTTTTCGCTGTGTTTATAATAACGCAACATTGACTATAATGCTGCCTTGTGTTGAAACGACAAATATTGAAATAAATTCTAACATTTATGTGTTTCAATAATTAATTGTAAAATTAAGACTTATTTTTGTTAAAAAAAATATAATGTAATTGACGTGAACTAGTGTTCAAAAACGAGAACTGTTTTTGTTTGTATTTTAGTTCTATTTAAGAAAAAAGGCTATTATTTCCGTTTTATGTCAAATGTTTATGATACTGTTCAGTTCTTGAACACAGTGAAGTAAAACTAATGCAAAATGAGACGAAAGACCATTGACAATGTTTTATTTTTATGTTACCTTATACTAACGACATACAGCAATCTAATGTTTAGTGTTGGCACTCGGTCTTGTCTTTTGTGGATGCCCCTTATTTATCACTAAGTTTACAAACGATCTATTGTGTTGACAGGGGCGGACCAGCGTCAGCTTTATACGTGGACAGGTGTAATTCACAAACAATGTCAGTATTTTAGTTGTTTTACAAGTAACCTCTCCTTTAGGGGAGCGCCCATCTACCCAGTCCTTCCTGTGGAATTGGTTGCCCATGTATGTATCGCTGTGCCGATCGGTCATGCTTCCAGTTTTCCCTCGTTGCCCGAAGTTACTTGAAAAGCCCGATTATTGTGTATTTTGAGACTTCCTTATTAGCAGCGTCAACTGCCAATAACTCGTTTAATCTGTGCCAGTGGCGAGGCTGGAGCGACTCGTACGTACGCGTTTTAGATTCTTAGCTCGGCAAAAACGCCGGCGTGGGGTGCGCAATTCGGTAGTCATTGACAGGTTCGAGAACGTTTATGACTACAACTGCGAACTTGTCTTTTTACAGTGCCACTGAAGTGTTTTCTCGATTGTGTGCTTGTGTCCTTTCTTGCTAATGCAGCTGGGCGTAGTGAATGGACCGGTTACTCTATGCGGCCATTGTTCCGCCTTGTTCGGGCATTAATGTTATAAAAGAGTTTGCTGTGGCACAAGAGGCAAAAATAACAACATAATAAAAAATACATGGGCCTGTGAATAGCTGATATGACATAAATAAATAAATGAGCAATTCACACAAAGGGTGTTGAATAGACTAGTTTGAATGACATACAATAGGTGTAACGCTGCTAATTTGCATGACAATAGGGCATACAACTTAGTACAAAGGCGTGAAGGGATCGAGGGGGAGAGTAAATAAATAGAGGCAAACAGCATTGAATTGGTGGCTTTGAATAGAGAGGTGTGGCCATGTTGAATTGCTTGCCATTATAGACTTGGGAAGAGATGTGCCAGTGAATGAACAACTGCCGCAGTCAACAAACCAAATATTTATTTGAATAAATGCGAGAAGCCTCCCCAAATATTTATATACACTAAAAAATGTATTTTGATTAATGCCGCATCAAACTGTTTATGGAATCTCCGTATAAATGTAACTGGAACGTTTGAAAACAGGTCTTTTCAATAATTTCCTGTGTTTTTTTTTCTACGTATAACAGATGCACTCGTACTTGACTCGAATTATGTGGCGCGTTTTGCCGATAAATGTTTTTTTTGTAAAAACAATTCTCCAAGTTGCCCCGTATCAAATTATTTCAAGGGATAAATGTGTTTACTGGTATGTTTCTGAGTTGAAACGATATATGTGAACGTGTCCCTGTCTCGCCATATTGGTGCAACAACAGGTTAATTTCATATACGAATACAACAATGACTTTGTTTAATATTTCCACAAATTAGTAGTTTATGTTGAATTTTTAGTTTTCAATCATTTTTTTTTTTTTTGGAATATTCCAAAATTCACAACATATTAAAACTCTGTTGCAATTTACGGCGTTACTTTCAAATTGCGCGAAAAACCGCGCAGGCAGATTTATGGTGGAGCGCTAGAACCCATGGTCTTGAAACGGGTTTATGCTACATTTTTAAACATTGCACGATAGTCAATAAACAACTGGTCACTATTTGTTCATCACACGAGTGCCATTTCTCTAAGTCGATGGGACAAAACGGGGATATGATTCAGTTGTTAAAATAGTGAGTTGCGATTCATTATTGATTCACTCGGTCCAGGAGATATATTGATATGTTGCTAGCTTCGCGACGACCGTAACACACCGTAAGAATGGCGATTTTTGATGATGTCGTGTTATCTTCAATTCATTTAGTGTTTTTTTTTTATTCTGCTGATATGACAAACGCTCGATACTATCTAAATCACGAGAACCACATAATGCGCTTAATTCCGCTATCGCAGTTTTGCAATTGTCCGATAAACGATCATACCATGTAGATCGTTATCACAGACTTCTACTTGTTGTGCATTGTAATATTATAGCTTGCTTCAACTTGGGCTTCGTTAATAGGAAATCTACGTTCACTTGGTTGTTTGTATTCGCGCGTTTGTATGCTTGCTCGTCGTAAGTATCGTTTAATGGGCGTTCTCCGATTTCAAATCATTTCCCCACTGCATTCACACCTGTGGGCACGCGGTGGATTCCACGTTTTAGATGTTGAAATTCAACGACCGCCATTGATTTCAATAATATTGTATGTAAACAACAGGCAAACAAATCACTTGTAACAACAATGCGAGGTCGTAAATGCATTATACGGATGTCGTAAAATTAGATCGAGAGGACAACACACATTTTTCAATAATGGTTTTCTCACTCAATTCGCGGTTTTCTTTAAGGTGTTTAGCGCCGCGGTCTTCGCCAATAACCGATACTATATACAATTGATCGCCCCTTAGCAGTGTGTGTGTGTATGTATTTTTTTTCTCACACTCATTGTCGTAGAGTTGATACGTTGTAAAATAGTGTGATGTTGGTGTAGTCGACCCAATGGACAGGAAAGAATGTGTGCGGCTCATTGAATAACCCCACCGAGTATGTACGTAATGGCATGCGACAGTCCGTTGGTTCCGTACAATATGGCAATTTGAGCAAAAAAACACACACACAAATACCCGTGACCTTTTTATATGCTGAGCAGTTGTTCTTTCTTCCACCAATTTCTACGCTCCGACTTCCCCCGAGTTGCGCTAGAACTTGGAGAATACGTGGCTATGGTAACCCTAAAAGCGATAAAACCGCTCTTTTATCCGGCTCTCACCGAAGCACACGTCTTTAACTGTCACATGGGAAGAAAATGATGTATTGGTTTGGTACTATTGTTTTTATGACCTGTGATAGGGTTTAATTTTCACTTTGACTAAAAACAAAAATAAGTTAAAGTAGCCCTTTATATTGTGGGTTTAAGTTAATCGCGGGCAATTTGATTAAGTCCCGTTAATTCTATGGATAAACAAAGAAGTGTTTTTACAAGTATTGGGTCCCACTGGGTTAGTGGAGCGTCTGAAATAGTGCCTCCATCCCCAAGTCAGGTGCAAACCTCAATTTATCAGAGTTCCCCCGATTACCGGCATACACAGATTAACAGTAGCCCGAAGACAGGAGCAGTAGTAGTAGTACAACCAAGATGCCGGTAAATGGTTTGTGTACCCAGACCACAAACGTTCCCAGTCACTTCTTTTTGCCCTAATGTTGGTTTAACCCGATCGCTATTGACTCTGAAGAGGGGACACACACAAAATGCAGTTTTAATTCATTATAGTCGCATGGCTGAGAGCGAAGACTATCACACGTGGTGGTTGGAGATCGGGCATCGGTGGGTCTTTCCTGATTTCCAGCTTTTTCTCCCGAAGTCTCGATGTATAATCGTGTACGTATTGTCCGCTCATATAAAGGACTTACACATACCCTTTGAGTGAACGCATTTGGTATGTTAATTGCTTTTCAGCATTTTCTTAATCTTCACACAAGTACGCTGTTGATTTCATTTCAAACCATTCTGTTGCGGAAACCAAAGAAATAAAAGGCGATGGCTAGTTGTATGTCGGCACTCAATAGCCCTATATTTACGGCTATTCATTGGTGAAAAGATCGTATAGAAAACAGAGTGTTCACTGCCATTCAGCCGTGTTCACTATTGTCAGCATGGGCATTATTAGAATTATTTTCAATTTTCCCTGGGACAATAGTTGACTGCCTCTGAATAGGTGTATGGTGATTTCATTACACCAACACATAATATATGTCGATGTTGATTTCTATGCCTTGTGTTCGTTTCTTTTCACGTCCTTTCACGGAGATGAATGCAACCTCTCGTACTTTACCAACCCAGTCCATTGTCCCATTTGTCGTTGCCACTACGGCGAGTCCGTACCACCAAATTGGAGGTATAGGAGGTGAATCCATCGCGGGACCTTCCCCCCCCCCCCCGAAAAAAACTTGTTTCTCTCTTTTATTATTAGTTCACGGCGGGCATTTTATGCTCACCCGTTTGTCTCTTCAGACCCCTCCCCTAATATTAACAACGCTGATCCCGTGGTTGGTTTGTGGGATGCAAGATGGAGAAAACGTGATGGTAGCCATGGTAACACCGTGCGTTGGGATAGCAGTTTTGTCTATAACATCTCGCTGATTTTCTCTTGACCTTTTACCATCATTGCACTCGAGCGACCGAGAGCAAGCGCCCGAACACTGCACGCCGGAGTTCTTATTTTTGATGCTGCACTCGACGTGTCGAATGTGCAAAAAACACCCCTATATTCAAGTTAAAATACCATGAAATCTAAACTTTACTAAATGCCTTACTGATGGAGCGAACGACCATTAATGAACTTTGTATTCGTAGTTCATAGCACGATTTGGTATCACGTGTATACAGATATATACACAGTGGTTTTACTGTGTATGAAAAACAACCCCACTAGCAGTATTACAATACCGCTCACTGTTTTGCTAACAAAGTAGCAATATTGATATTAGCTTGCCATTGCAAACTGTTACATTTGATCTAACAATATTACTATTTAGCTTGCAAAACAGTGACACTGCAACTGATAAATATTGCGTTTCGATTGCTACTGACACGATAAATATACAATGTAAGAACATTATGTATGTACAATTGTCCTGCATCAACTTGCTTTATAAATTGACTCATCGTAACATACTGTCATTTTTTTCACCCAACTGACATTGTACTCGAAAATCGAAACGCAATATTTACTGTGTGTAAAAACACCTCATATTGAATTGCCGTGGATGGTGTCTGTCCCTTCAGACTTGAACTAGAGAATAATATTATGATACAGTTCAGTTCTTGAATGTCATTTTGTTGAGAACCATCCGTTGAAGATTTAACAAACACGTGACGCCAAATTGTATGTTTTCATCGTTTATATGAAAGTGGACAGACGAAATTTTATGATAAT